AGCAGTGTTGTTGATGTCTAGAGAAGTGATAGAGACGACAGCAGTGTTGTTGATGTCTAGAGAAGTGATAGAGACGACAGCAGTGTTGTTGGTGTCTAGAGAAGTGATAGAGACGACAGCAGTGTTGTTGATGTCTAGAGAAGTGACAGAGGCTACAGCAGTGCTGTTGATGTCTGGAGAAGTGACAGCGACGACAGCAGTGTTGGTGCTGTTAGTGTCTAAAGAATGGCAGAGGCTACTAGAGGAAGAGCTTGTGAATAAATTGAAGATTCCTTTTTGGAAACTTTTCGACATGATGTCTTTCAGAAAGGGGCGTATCTTACAATCTTTGAAAACCATAAATGATAATCAAGACTATTATAAATTGATTGACAGGTAATGATGGTATTAGTCTCGAGTAATCAGCCATATAAAATATTGACTTGTCATATGATTCGATGTCAAGCACATGTTCCTACAGAGATCCTTTGATTTCGAGGTGAATAAAAGCAGGACTCTGTGGACCACGACTTCTTCCAGAGGCTTTTTCTTTTCAACTTTTAAAGAATTTTGATGCATGTATCCAATATTCACTGCCGTCATATTCGTTTTCCATAGGCCCCAGATTTAATTGAATTCGCTACATTGCTCTTATTTTTACTTTCTGTATACACCTCGCTTAAAGACTCGACATTATGATACTCAATTGAAACAAAACCTCAAAAGGGATTTATGACGTCACCATAACGGCAGAAAGAGAAGACGGTAAGCAAACCTGATGAAATTTCAAAAGGTCCTTGTATATTAAAATAGATATACAGACGCACAATATATTAAATTTATTAAATTTCATAATTCATGGGTCAATCAAACCGCAGGGTCTTCAAAGTTAAAATTCCGAATGGACCACACCGCCCTGAATCAACTCTTTGCTCCCTGATTTCTCTGATTGTCGAATACCAAATCTTTTAATTCAATTGTAGAATAATAGACTTGACTGTTCACTTTTATTCTTCAATATCAGATTAATATTGGTGACTTTTAACCCCCGCCCCGTCCTTTTATCATAGCCTTGTTCACTCAATCGTAATCATTGCTTGCCTTATATTCCTCATAAATCCCCCTTTTTCTGACAGAACGGCACAAAATCGTTCAGGAAACGTTCGGACAAACTGTCAAATTCGGAATTTATTTAGTGATCACAAATGTATTGTCGATGTTGGAATGAAAATATTTTCTTGTCAAATTTTGAACATTTTTCTAGTGACAACATACTCTTTTTTGGACTTTGGATTTTGGTGATCACAAATTTATTGTCGATGTTCGAATGAAGATGTTCATAATGAGGAAAAGTTTTGGAAATTAAACGGAAATGGATAAAAAGTGATAGCTATATATCAGAAAAAAACACTACTTTTAAGCCCATATCTGTTTCCTATAGATTATATGTGGAACTAAATTGCGGGAATTTTACGGTTAATTTGGCGCAGATTCCAAAAGACAAACTTGACTAATGAAGTAAGCTACGGGGCTTTCTAGGCGGAAAATATGATAATTATGGCCCGCTAATGAAGATATTGATAGGAACTTGTTTTCTAATCGGAAAAAAGCTTAAAAGCAAACCACGAGCCAATTGGAATATTAAACGATAATTTAATATCAAATTTCGAATTTAATAAGCTATTGTAAACTATCGTGCAACTATTAACTTTATATATGTGATAACTATCAACTTTATATAAGAGATAACTATCAACTTTATGTAAGAGATAACTATCAACTACAAACGTTAAGAATTTGTGATATTCTTTATTTTGTAAAATCGATAACTATCAACTATTGTATTTTATAAATTTGTGCAACTTTCAACTTGATATAAGTGCAACTATCAATTTTATAACTGTGAATAACTATCATCTATAATATACAAGAAATTTGTGCAACTATCAATTTTATGATTTCCAATCTGTCAACTATAAATGTATGAAAATTGTGCAATTATCAATTTTATAAATGCATTAGTCAACTATAAACTTTCTGCAACTATCGACTTTATGATAATCGCAAATTTCATAAACTATCAGTTTATAAAGATATAAAGACCTTAGTATAAGGAATATGTCCAACTATTTATTTTATAATTGTGCAATTGTGTCAACTATAAATGAATTAAGTTTGTGCAACTATTGAATTTTATAAACTATCAATTTATAAAGACATAAATAACATAGTATAAGAAATTTGTGCAACTATCAATTTTATTAAACCGATAATTGCTAGATGAATGAGCAGGTATTGTAAATGGCGTGACCAAAATTGATGAAACCATTTTCTTAATGAATTGAGAAAATTAAGGAAAATTAGAGGTTTTATTTTCTTTTATTGGAAGAAAAGAGTATTTGATCGAGCAGATTCTGCCATTATTGTCAGCAATCTATTCATTTTAATACGGATTTATATAGTGGAACTTAAACGTTTGGGCATTGTTCTTGACGATTTGGCAAACTTCTAAAACGTTTCAGCATTGTTTCCGAGGATTTACTAAACTTCTAAAAAGTTTTTTAATCATATACAAAATTAATCCTGAAATGGAAACTTCCATAAAAACGAAAGGAGAGTCGTCGGAGGACGTTGATGCAATTGACGAAACGGATCGACACAACGATACGCTTTCGGAAATTTCCGAATGTTCCGACGGAGAAATGGACAGTTCCGAACATATCGAGGATAAAAGACAATTTGGAAAAAAATCGGAAAGGGTAGCTGACTCGGACAGTGAAGTGGAAAATTCCGGTGATAAATCTCCGGAAAGTGTTTCGAGTCCAGAACGTCCACAAGTATCGGGAAATGTTCCCCCACGTCCAACATTCCTCATTACGGACATCTTATCCAAAGTATCGAGTTCCAGACCTATTGTGAATCCTTATCTAATACATTATCCGGAAAGTCCCGAAGATCTGTCCCGGACCCGAATGGTTCCGGAGATCTGTCATACGATGACCCATGAACATATAGATCATCACCATGGACACGACAGTTCCAAAATCAAAGGTAAAAATTGCATTTATATCTTGTTACATTCCATAAGAACTTAAGAAAATTCTTTGAACGCGAAATGGCTCAACTAGAGGGGTGGTGCCGGGGATTAAGTCGAAAGGAGTCAATCCAAAAATGTATATGTCTTGTTCATTCATATTTTGTCATCCATTCTATACTTTTTCTGTTAATTATTCATTTCTTTTTCTGTTAATTATTAATATCTTTTTCTGTTAATTATTCATTTCTTTTTCTGTTAATTATTCATTTCTTTTTCAGTTAATTATTCATTTCTTTTTCTGTTAATTTTTCATTTCTTTTTCTGTTAATTATTCATTTCTCTTTCTGTTAATTTTTATTTCTTGTTCTGTTAATTATTAATTTCTTTTTTCTGTTAATTATTATAATTATTTATTTTTTCTGTTAATTATTCATTTCTTTTTCATTTAATTTGCGGCTAATTATTCAATTATTTTACAGTTTATTACTCTTCTTTTTAAACTTAATTATTCAGTTTCTTTTTTAAATTCATTTATTTTTCTGTTAATTAATCATTAATTTTGTAGTTTATTATTCATTTATTTGAGGTTGATTATTCGTTTATTTTACTGTCTATTATTCATATATTTTTCTGTTAATAATATTCAATATTTCACTTTCAATATTACAGAAAAAATTTATAAAACAAAATGTTATAAAAACACAAATTTTCTGAGATAAAAAATATCACCGAAAATATGAATTTTGTAAAATAAAAAATCAGCGGTGATCGAATTTTTGAAAGAGTCAAAAGTCGCATTATAAGTCATAAAGGTATTGAATATAGACAAATTTATGACTTTAATATAGAGCGGCATAGATGAAAGGGGGATTTGTAACTGTAGATAATCCGACGACTAAATCCTTTTTGAAGGGAAATATGAAGAGGATTTGTTCTCTACGGCGCCAGGCGGTTTGTTTCACACGCATATTCAGTGCATTACAAGATATTTTATAATGAGAGAAATTCGTATTTATATTTTTTATATAGTGCATTCTTTAAAGTATGAATTAATGTTAAAGGGTCCTTTAGGTTCATCGAGTGCGCAGCACCTCTTACTTAAGGGTACTTTTTTGAAATTTTAACAATGGCAAATAATTGCAATTTAATTTTGCGGTTTTTTTTCATTGAAATAATTTGGTATTGAGTAAAATATCAATAAATTCTCTTATTGAAAAATTTAATGATTGAATGTTAGAAAATTATCTTTCTTAGATTAAATTTGGTCAATTTTCTCACGAGGTCAATTGAAAACGGTGTCATTTGGCTCAAAGCGAAATTGAAATATAAGCAGTTTATTAAAAATGTATTTTGTATCCGCAAACAAATACAAATGGTTCTATTATAATTTTTCTTAAAAAGGTGCCCAAACTTGTTCAAAATTTGATTTATTTTTCAATGGATTTTTTTTTTCAACAGCGATTTCTGTTTTCATTCATTACGTCAAGTATGTAACTTTAAACTGTATAATATAAATTTATTTTCTTTAAAATGTTGGTTATTTATTTTTATTTTACATATTTATTTATTTTCTTATATTATATTCATTTGATATATTAATTCATTTTATAAAACTTTTTATTTAATCATTTATTTATTTTTTACATATTCATTTATTTTCTTATATATTCATTTGATATATATTTTCATTTTATATATTTATTTTCTTTTTTCTTTTTTCTTTTTCATATGCATTTATTTTCTTATATATTCGTTTGATATATTATAACATTTCATATAAATTATTATTTATTAATTTTTTATATTTTTTATATTTATTTTCTTATTTATTCCTTTGGTATAGATTTTCATTTTATATAATTTTTTTTTATCTTTCTTTTATTTATTTATTATAATTATAATATATTTATTTCATGTATTTATTTATTTTATTTTTTAATGTAAAAAAAAAAGATGGCAGAAATAGACTCAACTATTAATGGCTATGAAGTGCCTTGAAAGCTCGGACGTAAAACTCCATTTTATTTCAATTTCAGTACAAGTCGGTGATAGAGATTCGCCTATTATGATGTATAAATCTAAGAAACCGAGAAAAGCTCGGACAGCTTTCTCCGAGAGTCAGCTCCGGTACCTTGAGAAACATTTCGACCGGCAGAAATACCTCAGTGTTCAAGACCGAGTGGAACTGGCTGCAAAACTACAATTATCAGACACTCAAGTCAAAACTTGGTACCAAAACAGAAGGTAGGTTTTCGGAATTTTCAGGAATTTTTCTGGAATTCAAAAATTTTCAGAAAATGAAAAATGTGTCAGGAATTTTTCTGGAATTCAAGAATTTTCAGAAAATGAAAAATGTGTCAGGAATTTTAAGGAATTCAGGATTTCAAGAATCCAGGAAAGTATTTCCGCAAAACGAAATGTAAACGCATTTCAACATGAACACAGCACACTGCCATTGTCCCATAAAATCTACCAGCCATATAGTTGGACACGCCATTTCTTCCATATATACTTTTTAGTGGTCGCAAGTTGAATTGAATATTAGTCATGCGGCAAACCTGGTGTCTGGAGGCCATTACGGACAGTTTATTTGAAGTTTTTAAGTCATAATTAAGACTACATTTTTTTTCTTATTTCAGAACTAAGTGGAAAAGGCAGACGTCAGTTGGCCTGGAGTTGTTAACGGAAGCCAGTAACTTCGCAGCGGTTCAACGAATCTTACAGTCAAATTCTTATTGGACTTCGTCGTATCCTCAAACTGCCAATCTTGTGTCAAATTTCGAATCCATCGTACGTGGAACTACGCCTCTTATTCCACCACGCCCACCTTTTCCAGGATTATTTCTTCCCGGAATGCCAGGGTCTGTTGCACCTTTTCCACCGACTTCAACGCAAAGTAAACGTTAGAAGCTTCTTCTGGACGAATTTGGATAAAACGCATCAATAATTACTACTAAAGTAAGAATCTGAAATCGGATTTGAGTAATCATTTGTGGTGTGACTATATACCGTCAACATATACTCAAAGAAATCATGAAGAGTCCGAGTACTGGCCTCAAAATCGTTGAGGGGTGGGGCTCACTTCAAACATTTAAGAACCGCATTTGCACATAAAATGGTCAATCGTCAGGTGTGAATTCTGTCTACTGATAATTTTGACTATGTAAATGTTATAATAAATACAATTTTGATAGTGTTTTCTGATTTGCAACTCTCCAAAAGACCACAGATTCTCTGTAATGATGGTGTAGTCAAAAGAACTAAAAGCGGAAGTTGTGTGTCGGCTGCATGAAACGACTTCCGGTTTGAACTCGTTTGGTCATGAGACGGACGAACGACCTACCATGAAAGTAACGCTAGCACTCTGCAACAGATTCAGCATTACGGAAACTGCCGAGGATAGCCAAATGGTCATGGGATCTAAAAATCGGACCTTTTAGCATAATTATAGTTTATTTGTAGAGTAAACAAGCATTTCATTTGAAATATAATTAGAAAAGTAATTTTATATGATAGACAGAAAAAGGCAAGACAGATACATAGAGTGCACCATTATATTGCGTTCGATGCAGGTGTCGGAACAATTCCACCCCAGTTGTGAGTATGTGTTTGATCATTTTAATTCTGGAATGCCAGAACGGTTACAAACAGTGACGTCCACCATCTAAAAATAAAGTTTGTCCAGAGATAAAACTGGATTGATCCGAGGCCAGGAAAGCGATTGCTTGAGCTACATCTTCTGGTTCACCAACTCGTCCTAAAGGATGTAGATTATTTTGCTCAGTGATGAACTGAAATAAAGAAATTAATGGAGTTTTACGTCCTAATCTTCTGCACCTAATTGAGCTATTGGCAATTCCATGCAGTGTGCAATGAGGGAAATCTTGCCAGCACAACGTAATTAGCCTACTACTTTGCCAGGACAGCGGCATTGGCGTGCTCTTTTTCGATTTTCAACTGTCGAAGGATCTTTAACGTGCACAACCTGTAGCACACGACTAGACGCCTTTTCCATGTCACCCCTTCTCACCTACATCAATGACAATGGGATACCGGGTTGTATGTTCATTTTAAGAGGTAGTGTTCCTTTAAATAAAAAGAAAGGTCACAAACCTGTGCAAAAGCTTCGTCTGATTTATATGGACTGTCAGTTGCACGTTGATGAATTTGAGAAATTACTACTCCTGGACTGAAAATAAGCAAAAGATGGCATCATTTTTAACTCTGCAAGTGAAATATTGGCACCGACGAAATTCCACGACCCACTCCTCGCATGCCACTTAACATTGGATGTAATAAGCGTTCCTTGGATTTCGAAGATGGGTATTAATGTAGATCATGGTATACAAGTTATACATGTATATCTAATTGTAGACAAACCGAGCGTCAGATATTTGTAATTAAAGTGAAACGGATAGGTAAAATTCTATATCACTCGCATTGAATTTCAGAAGGCCATGCAATCCCCCCCCACGCCATAAAAACCACACTCACTTTACGGAATTTACTCGAACGCCTTGTGGAGCCAACTCTAAAAATGATGAAAAAAAAATAAAAGGCTTACTTATATTTTGTGGTTTAGCGAAGCCAAAGCAAAGCGATATGACATGTTTTATAAGTTTCGATATTACACAAATTGTCACAATTTGTCATAGTTATCGAGAAACGGATCGTTCATGACACACTTTGATTGGTTAAAAATAATATAATGAGAACGGGACTGCTGTAGAAAACTCGTCAGATTACAATGAAAAATGTGAAGTACCAGGCTTTTCGCTATACATCTATTATAATAATACAATAATAAAAATATTTTCACTGTTAAAATAGTACTCAATACATCAATTATACAGCGATATAGAAATACCACTGTTAAAATAGTACTCAATACAACAATTCTAGAGCGTTATAGAAATAATACTGTTAAAATAGTGCTCAATACATCAATTATACAGCGATATAGAAATACCACTGTTAAAATAGTGCTCAATACAACAATTCTAGAGCGATATAGAAATACCACTGTTAAAATAGTGCTCAATACAACAATTCTAGAGCGATATAGAACTATCACTGTTAAAATAGTGCTCAATACAACAATTCTAGAGCGTTATAGAAATAATACTGTTAAAATAGTACTCAATACATCAATTGTAGAGCGATATAGAAATACCACTGTTAAAATAGTACTCAATACATCAATTATACAGCGATATAGAAATACCACTGTTAAAATAGTGCTCAATACAACAATTCTAGAGCGATATAGAAATACCACTGTTAAAATAGTGCTCAATACAACAATTCTAGAGCGATATAGAAATACCACTGTTAAAATAGTGCTCAATACAACAATTCTAGAGCGATATAGAACTATCACTGTTAAAATAGTGCTCAATACATCAATTCTAGAGCGTTATAGAAATAATACTGTTAAAATAGTGCTCAATACAACAATTCTAGAGCGATATAGAACTATCACTGTTAAAATAGTGCTCAATACAACAATTGTAGAGTGATATAGAAATACCACTGTTAACATAGTGCTCAATACAACAATTGTAGAGTGATATAGAAATACCACTGTTAACATAGTGCTCAATACATCAATTCTAGAGCGATATAGAAATATCACTGTTAAAATAGTGCTCAATACAACAATTCTAGAGCGTTATAGAAATAATACTGTTAAAATAGTACTCAATACATCAATAGTAGAGCGATATAGAAATACCACTGTTAAAATAGTGCTCAATACAACAATTGTAGAGTGATATAGAAATACCACTGTTAACATAGTGCTCAATACATCAATTGTAGAGTGATATAGAATTACCACTGTTAAAATAGTACTCAATACATCAATTATAGAGCGTTATAGAAATAATACTGTTAAAATAGTGCTCAATACAACAATTCTAGAGCGATATAGAACTATCACTGTTAAAATAGTGCTCAATACAACAATTGTAGAGCGATATAGAACTATCACTGTTAAAATAGTGCTCAATACAACAATTCTAGAGTGCTCAATACAACAATTCTAGAGCGATATAGAACTATCACTGTTAAAATAGTGCTCAATACAACAATTGTAGAGTGATATAGAAATACCACTGTTAACATAGTGCTCAATACATCAATTGTAGAGTGATATAGAAATACCACTGTTAAAATAGTACTCAATACATCAATTGTAGAGCAATATAGAAATACCACTGTTAAAATAGTACTCAATACATCAATTATAGAGTGATATAGAAATACCACTGTTAACATAGTGCTCAATATATCAATTATAGAGCGATATAGAAATATTATATTCATTATATTCTTGATACGTACCTAAACAAATACATTCAGTAAACATATCTAAGGCAGCTTTACTCATACAATATACTCCTATCAGGGGAAACTGAAATGCGAATTTATTTGCCATGATATTCAATTAGAAAAAAAAGCACGTGCAAATAGCTATATAACCCATATAAATACAGAAATGATATGAACAAGATAATCAAAGAACTGCAATTGTGCCAAGTGCAGTTCTGTTTGCCAGACTTGATTGTTCGGTATGGGGGTAGGTCAATTGGTCTTGAGTCGCAGTGATGATTTGGGGTTTGGGGTGTTTACATATTGTGAATTATAATTTTTCTTTCGTCACGAAGTTTCGAAATACACATGCATCGTAATTTTCTACACGACTATTGGGTTGCATTCGATTTAAATTTGAAATTAGCCTTGACAATGAACCAAGATCCATTCACGGGACTCGGGACAAGAGAACAATATGGCCGCTACTTACCGACCTAGCTCCACCTAGACTGGACACGTTGACTATACTTCCTGAAAAGGAACCATGAGCTATTCAAATTTCAATGTTCGAACATACGTACATCTTTGATTGGTTCAGCGGCATGCCCAGATTCTTAACAGTTAGTTTAACATTATTTTTTCTAGGACTCTATAAGTATAAGTATTAGATGTTTCATGTTCTTAACGAAAATAAGGGAACCCATCTTCGAAGGCAACATGCCATAAGATTTCGTATTGTAAATTAAGTCTTGGCATGTCGAACAACGAAATAATGCGCCTGGCCGAGTTACCAAAATCAAAATACATGTAGTTCAGTTCAGGCCCGTAGCCAGACTTGATTGTTTGGAGGGGCAAGTAATATATCTGGTATGGTGTTTAGTTGCAATAATAGAATTGGTGGTCCGAATTTTGTTTTTCCGCCCCCCCCCCCCCCCCACCCCCTGTAGCTAGGGACCTGGTTCAGTTAAATATGACATATTACCTTCCTTACCTTTTGATTTGATAAGATGTGGCGCTGCCAGTTTGGTCAGAGCAAACGGTGCTTTAAGATTGGTGTCCATTACAATGTCGAAGTTATCCTTTGGTGTTTGTAGAGCTGGCAACCAACAGAGAACCCCTGCATTGTTCACCTGAAAAGATGGTTTGAAGGGCAACCAGTGGCCCAACTAGATGAATGGACTTGGGTTGGGGTCCCCGTCCCCCGTGAAATTTTTTAACATATGTTCTCCTGCGGGTTGAGCCCCCATATTGATGGGGGTCTGTCGACTTGGTTCAACCAGTTCCAATGGTAGTTGAGCAACAGAGGTCAATAGTCGATATTTTCGGAGGTTGGTGTGGGACTTGAATATTGAAATAGTTTTTAGAAGTACTTGAACTGCGAAAAATCAATGTGTAAATGTGATGATTTGGTCGGATAGTACGCTAGCCAATACAGCCAATCAGGGGCCTGGACAGAAAATCTTAAACAATTAGGCTGTATGTGCAGTCGACTGCTTTGATTGCCTGTATTCTCTTGCCTATACAATCCAATTAAATTGCTGCATTTACAGTTTTTGTGATACAAGAATAGTGGTAATTGCAGTCAAGGTGTTCACGCAGTTCTTAATAGCTTGACATTGTCGTCAATATAACTATCAGTTCATGGACATACCAGAACATCCAGACGTCCAAACTTCTCTATCGTCTTATTGATGATTTTCTCTCTGATAGACTCGTCTCTCACGTCTCCCAGCTCAGTGAGGATCTGAAAAATATATCAGTTTAGTGGTAAAAATGAAACTTCTAGACTTCTTTCTCTTGCATTTGACGACGTCTATTGTCTTAAAATTGTATTGGTAAACTACACGTCTCGGGCCTATGCAGTGGCTCGACTACCCCCTCCCCCCCCCCCCCTCTCCTCTCCACTTCTAAGGGGCCCATCCCCAAAAATAAAATGCTGAGAGCACATGTAAAAAAGAAAACGTCTTCGGGGAAGGGCCCAACCCACTTAAGTCCACGGGCCCCCCATCATCTAGTTTAGCCACTTAGCCTATGTCGGATGTCTATGCAGTTATATGCATATTTCGGATTGGCCCAAATCTGGCCCTGAGATAACACGTCTGAAGAACAGGGAAGGACAAGTTTTTCGGTCTCATTACAGATAAGTCTATAGTAAAAATAACGCCATTGAATATAACTGAACTTACGTTCTCTTTGCCGGCTCCAGCTTCTATACAAAGAGTAGCTGTTTCTTCCAATGTAGCTCCATCTCGTCCGTGAAGAGACAATTTGGATCCGAGTTTAGCAAAATGAACAGCCGTACCACGTCCAATTCCAGAACTAGCTCCTATAAAATTTCAAAATGCAAAAGCTACAGATAACTAGAAAACCCGGTCACAAAATAGCCAATTAGGTGGCCACTTGAGCTTATCAGGATCATAAAACTGATTGTCAATCTAGCTGAACAAGCCCCCATCCCCCCCCCCCCCCACACTTTCCTTCCTTCCGTGTGTCTCTATTCGTCGCCATTTGGATGTTTCTTGGTTGAATGAATTAACGAGTTGTTAGTTATCATATTATCCTTTAAATATTTGTTTAAATACTTCACGTTGTGTTCTAAATATAACGCCTGCATGTTTCGGGTTGTCCTTTGGCGGCGGCTCAAAGTACAAGCTGACCTGGTGTACACTTACAAAGTAAACCTTCATGCAATCACGGCGTGCAACAAATTAAAGAGAGGTCCAGGACCAGGGTGTATGAAGGATGGTTAAGTGTTAAACATAATATGATGCGAGCATAAGCATAAACAATAGTGTCTCCGGACTGCACATCATGACATGTAGTGTAACATTCGTTAATAATTCTAAATTATTGTTCATATTTCTGATTGCTCCGCTAGCATATTATTTTACTCTAGCACTTAAATATCAAATGTGTTGCCCAAACGCTGGTCTGATACTGATCATTGAGTCATATAAGATAGTCTATCCAGGACAGCGGCATTAGCCTGCTCTTTTTCTATTTCCAACTGTCGAGGTATCTTTAACTTCACTGCCAGTAATACATCGGGCTTCGGTTTATTGTTCCATCTGAACGACTAGACGCTTTTTCCATGTCAGTCCCTCTTATCTACAACACTGACAGGTGGAAACCGAGTTGAAAAATCAGAAGGTATCATCTCGACCTATTATGCCTATTATTGAACCCTGGACAGAATTTTCAATTTCAAAACGACTTAACACGTTTAGAAGTATACACTTCAACAGTGAAAATATAAGGCCTACCTGTTATAAGGACCACCTTATCTTTAAGACTTTCCATATTAATTCTATAGACACTTATTCTATATTTCTTGCAGTAAGTGTTTCAACCGATTTCTTTCAAAGTTATCAACTCAGTTACTTCCCTTGAACTGTTTAAAGTGAGTTTGGGCGATGCAGTCATTAGATCGGCTTGCAAGAATACAATGAATGGATTTTTACGTCCTACTTTTTCTGTATCTAATGGGCTAATAAAGACGAGGAACGCCATGCAGTGTGCAAGGAAGGGAATTTTGCAATGACAGCAGCATCAGTCTAACGTGCACATACGTGGCACCATACTTCCCATGCCGTTTCAGTGAGGCACTGCGTCAAAATCACTTATCATGACACCTTTTCCACCGACTTCGACGCCAAGTAAACGTTAGAAGCTTCTTCTGGATGAATTCGGATCAAACGCATCAATAATTACTACTAAAGTAAGAATCCGAAATCGGATTTGAGTAATCATTTGTGGTGTGACTACATTATTATACTCAAAGAACGTTAATACAAGCGTCAAGGCATCTCTAAGTCTATTTGTAGAGTAAACAAGAATTTCATTTGGAATATAATAAGAAAAGTGATTAAATATGATAAACAGAAAAAAGGCAAGACAGCTACATTATATGCACTATTATATTGCGTTCATTGCAGGTGTCGGAACAATTCCACCCCAGTTGTGAGTATGTGTTTGATCATTTTAATTCTGGAATGCCAGAACGGTTACAAACAGTGACGTCCACCATCTAAAAATAAAGTTTGTCCAGAGATAAAACTGGATTGATCCGAGGCCAGGAAAGCGATTGCTTGAGCTACATCTTCTGGTTGACCAACTCGTCCTAAAGGATGTAGATCATTTTGCTGGGTGATGAACTGAAATACAGAATTGAAATGAAATTGATGGAGTTTTACGTCCTAATCTTCTGCAACTTATTGGGCTAATGAAGTAAGACAATGCCATGCAGTGTGCAATGAGAGAAATCTTGCCAGGACAGCGTAATTAGCCGACAATTTTTTTTTTATTTCCTCCTGTCGGAGGATCTTATGTTCATTTTAAGAGGTAGTGGAACACTACCTCTTAAAATAAAACGAAAGGTCACAAACCTGTGTCAAAGCTTCGTCTGATTTAAATGGACTGTTAATTTGACGTCGATGAATGTTCGAAACTACTATTGCTGGACTGAAAATAATCAAAAGATGGCATCATTTTTAACTCTGCAAGTGAAATATTGGCACCGTCGAAATTCCACGACCCACTCCTTACATGTCACTTAACATTGGATGTAATAAGCCTTCCTTGGATTTCGAAGATGGGTATTAATATAGATCATGATATTCAAGTTTACCATATGTATCCAATTGTAGACAAACCGAGCGTCAGATATCTGTTATTAAAATAAAACGTATAGCTGAAATTCCATATGAACTGATAACAAAATAATTTACGACTAGCAGTGAATTTCAGAGGGCCATATAGGGGCCTGGAAGGCATAAAAACCACACTCACTTTACGGAATTTACTCGAACGCCTTGTGGAGCCAACTCTAAAAATGAAATAAAAAAGGCTTAGCTTATATTTTGTGGTTTAGCGAAAGTAAAGCGATATGACATGCTTTATAGATTTCAGTATTTCACAAATTGCCACAATTTGAAATTGTCATCGGTTTGGAGAAACGGGTCGTACGTGCACACTTTGATTGGTTAAAAATGACACTATTAGAATTGGACTGGAGTAGAAAGCCTGTTAGATTACAATGGAGAAAGAAAAGTGGAATTTAATTAGACATGGGACTACCCATGAAGCTGTTTTTTGTTGAAAAGACGTCGAATATCCCTCAAAAAATTATGATCACAGCTTTGATACTTTATGTGAAATTCTGAGTTGAAAAGTGTTATCGTTTTTTTTGGACCACCCGATATATCTATACATATACATACATTACTATTGTCTTGATACGTACCTAAACAAATACATTCAGTAAACATATCTAAGGCAGCTTTACTCATACAATATACTCCTATCAGGGGAAACTGAAATGCGAATTTATTTGCCATGATATTCAATTAGAAAAAAAAAGCACGTGCAAACAGCTATATAACCCATATAAATACAGAAATGATGAACAAGATGAACAAAGAACAGTCATTGTGAATTATAATTTTACCAAAGTAACGAAGATTCGAAATACACATGCATCGTAATTTCTACACGACTATTGAGTTGCATTCGATTTAAATTCCAAAAAATTTCAGTAGCCTTGGCAATGAACCAAGATCCATTCACGGGAACCAATAGAGGACAATATGGCCGCTACTTACCGCCCTAGCTCCACCTAAACTGGACACGTTGACTATACTTCCTGAAAAGGAACCAAATTCTAATGTTCGAACATAAGTATATCTTTGGTTTGGCACCTAGAGACATGCTAATGTTTAATCTGCTCAAATCTTTAACATTACAATATTTTTCATACGGTGTTTGCTCTTAAATTTACATAGGAGATCCAGACTCTTTGTTACGTTATACATATAACTAAAAGGCAACATGGCGTAGGATATCTTAACGGAAATTAGGCCACGAGTTTGTTTACACGTGCATGTCGACCTCCTAGCCAATACGAAAAAATGCGTGTAGCCTAGCTGCCAAAATCAGACTCGAGTATTCGGATGGGCATGTAATATATCCAAAAGAGACAATGGTGTATGGTGTTTAGTTGCAGTAATGGAATTGGTCGGTTGTCGAGGGGCAATCTATTTTTCCGTGCTCTACTTGCCCCCCTGTAGCTAGGGACCTGGTTCAGTTTAAGACGACATATTACCTTCCTTACCTTTTGATTTGATAAGATGTGGCGCTGCCAGTTTGGTCAGAGCAAACGGTGCTTTAAGATTGGTGTCCATTACCATGTCGAAGTTATCATTTGGTGTTTGTAGAGTTGGCATTGAACAGAGAACCCCTGCATTGTTCACCTGAAAAGATGGTTGAAAGGCCGAAATATTGCATATCATTAATTCCACTTTCGTTTCGGTTTTTTCATCAGGTTTTATTTTTAATATTGCTATTTTAGTGAGTTTATCAGCACCCCTCTTGAACGTTCGTCAAATTAACCTTTTAACCTAACCTGACTGTCACGAATTGCCAGCGCTGGACAAGGTAGAATTTTGATTGGTTAAAACAGGCGTCATCGAGTTAGGTCAAAAGGTTACCTTGACGAACGTTCAAGAGAGCTGTAGTTAGACCCTAACTGAAGTGACTATATTAAAAAAACGGAGCGAAAGGTTGGCCTAATTTTAATTACACTGCATTTTGTCAGTCTTCACTGTGTAAGTGTGGTGATTTGATTGGATTGTACGTTAGCCAATACAGCCAATCAGAGGCCTGGACAGAAAGAATTAAACAATTTGTCTTTGAAAAAGAGTCGTCAATATAACTATCAGTTCATAAACATACCAGAACATCCAGACTTCCAAACTTCTCTATCGTCTTATTGATGATTTTCTCTCTGATAGACTCGTCTCTCACGTCTCCCAGCTCAGTGAGGATCTGAAAAAATATATTAGTTTAGTGGTAAAAATGAAAATACTTTCATTTTTCTCTTGCATTTGACAATGTATGTTGTCTAAAAATAGTATTGGTAAACTACATGCCTCAGGCCTATGCAGTGACTCGACTACCACGGACTGGTTGAACAAAGTCCACGGGCTCCCACAACCCAAGAAAAAAATGCCGAGAGCACATGGGAAATTTTGCCAGGACAGCGGCATTAGTCTGCTCTTTTTCGATTTCCAACTGTCGAGGGATCTTTAACGTGCACAGCCTGTAGCACACGGGGCTTTGGTTTATGCCCTATCCGAACGACTAGACGCTTTTTCCATGTCAGCCCCTCTTACCTGCATCACTGACAGGGGGAAACCGGGTAGAAAAATCCGAAGGTATTATCTAGTCACCGCGGCTCCCTGTGCCTGGTAAAGGGCCCCAATCATCTTGTTGAGCCATTGAGCATATGTCGGCTATCTATGCAGTTCTATGCATATTTCGGATTAGCCAAACAAATTCGGCTCTGAAATGACACGCCTGAAGAACTGGGTAGAATGGTTTGCAGTAATATATAACACCACTAAAAATATCTGAACTTACGTTATCTTTGCTGGCTCCAGCTTCTATACAAAGAGTAGCTGTTTCTTCCAATGTAGCTCCATCTCGTCCATGAAGAGACAATTTGGATCCGAGTTTAGCAAAATGAACAGCCGTACCCCGTCCAATTCCAGAACTAGCTCCTGCAAAATTTCAAAATGGAAAAGCTGTTCAGTGTTACGGAAACAACCAAAAGTTGCCGAATGTTATATGCCAAATAGTATTGGAGATAAACGCGGTCACAAAATAGCGCAGGTGGTGTTCACGTGAGCTTATCAAGATCATAAAACTAATTGTCAATCTAGCTGTACCCCCTTCCCCCCCTCTCTATTCGTCGCCATTTGGATGTTTCTTGGTTGAATGAATTAACGAGTTGTTAGTTACCCTACTATCCTTTCAATATTTGTATAAATACTTCACGTTGTATTTTAAAAAATATTACGCCTTCATGCTTCGGGGAGTTCTTTGGCGACGGCTCAATATACACCCTGACCCCGGCTGGGGTAAATATATAGTACACTTACCAAGTAACCTATCATGCAATCACGGCGTGCTACAAGTTTAAGAGGGGTTCTTTAACCGAGTCTATGAAGGATGGCTAAGCGTTAAACATAATATGATGCGAGCATAAGCATAAGCAATAGTGTCTCCGGACTGCACATCATGACATGCAGTGTAACATTCGTTAATAATTCTAAATTATTGTTCATATTTCTGATTGCTCCGCTAGCATATTATTTTACTCTAGCACTTAAATATCAAATGTGCTGCCCAAACGCTGGTCTGATACTGATCATTGAGTCATATAAGATAGTCTATCCAGGACAGCGGCATTAGCCTGCTCTTTTTCTATTTCCAACTAAGCATCTTTAACGTGCACTGCCTGTAATACACGGGGCCTCGGTTTATTGTCCCATCCGAACGACTAGACGCTTTTTCCATGTAATCCCCCTCTTACCTGCATCACTGACAGGTGGAAACCGGGTTGAAAAATCCGAAGGTATCATCTCGACCTATTATGCCGAGATTGAACCCTGGACAGAATATGCAATTTCAAAACGACTTAACACGTTTAGAAGTATACACTTCAACAGTGAAAATATAAGGCCTACCTGTTATAAGGACCACCTTATCTTTAAGACTTTCCATATTAATTCTATAGACACTTATTCTATATTTCTTGCAGTAAGTTTTTCAAACGACTTTTTTTTTAAATAATCTACTCAGTTTCCTCCCTTGAAATGTTATCGGGTTAAAGTTAGTTTGGGCGATACTGTCAGTCAAACGATGTGTTTGAAGATTGAAGTGCTGGACTGACTGTTAGTAACGTATACAACAGGATCTTCAGTGATGGGTCGCTTGGCTAATTTAGTCCAACTACAGATGGACTATCATCAGACAGTAAGTTGCCATTCAGCTCCACTTCCAAATTTTATCTCTGTACCATGTCTTAAAAGAACTATATCTGGGGCAATTGAATGTGATTTTGGGTTGGGGGCCTTCAAGCCAGTTGGCGCGGTTATTTTTGAATCAGAGATAGGTAAAAGAAAACAACCTTTTACACCTCAAAAGGGTCAGAGGAAAAGAAGACAAGAAAAAGTGATAGGCTAATCGAATTTTTTTATCGTCATATTTTGCACTGATCTTGAATTATGAAAAAGGGCAGTAATTTGTATATGTTACGCGGATTTATACAGTGAACACAGGTTTTATGGTAATAGTGGTTTTATATGATATATCAAATTACATAGAGTGCACAATTCCGTTGCGTTCGATGCAGGTGGCGATTCCATCCCAGTCATCGACTTCTGGTAGTATGTTCTTCGTCATTTAAGACTTGGGAGCGGCGGCAGTGGTAGAGCAAACACAATGTCGTCCACCATCTATAAATATGGTTTGCCCAGAGATAAAACTGGATTGATCCGAGGCCAGGAAAGCGATTGCTTGAGCTACATCTTCTGGTAGACCAACTCGTCCTAAAGGATGTCGAGCATTTTGCTGAGTAATGAACTGAAATAAAGGACCCAGGGGAAGTCAGCATTACAGGAACATGATCCAAAATTATCTTAAATATTCAACAGAAATCAGGCCCGTAGCTATAGGGCGGCATAGAGGGAGTGGGGGGGGGGGGGA